GCTGACGACTACTCGCGTTACACCACGGTCTTCCCCTTGCGCCGCAAGGGTGAGGTCACTGAGGTGTTGATCGACTGGATCCGCGCTGCTCGTCTCCAGCTCAGAGAGAGTTTTGGCTCGGACTTTCCTGTTCTGCGTCTGCACTCAGACAGAGGTGGAGAGTTTTCCTCCGACCTTCTGCGAGCTTTCTGTCGGGCGGAGGGCATCCGCCAGACGTTCACGCTTCCGGCCTCTCCACTGCAAAATGGGATTGCTGAGCGCCGCATTGGCATGGTCATGGATGTCGCTCGTACGTCCATGATCCATGCGGCTGCTCCCCATTTTCTGTGGCCGTTCGCGGTTCAGTACGCGGCGCATCAAATCAACCTCCAGCCCCGGGTCTCCATGCCGGAGACCACCCCCACTCTGCGGTGGACGGGGAAGGTTGGCGATGCATCTGCGTTCTGTGTCTGGGGATCTCGAGCTTTCGTCCGCGACTTGTCTGCGGACAAGCTGTCCTCCCGTGCCGTTCCCTGCGTCTTCCTTGGCTTCCCCCCTGACGCGCCTGGGTGGCAGTTTTACCACCCCACCTCGCGCCGTGTTCTGTCCTCTCAGGACGTCACGTTTGACGAGTCGGTTCCTTACTACCGTCTCTTCCCCTACCGCACTGCCCCCCTCCCCCCCCTGCCGCTCTCGCGCCAGGTACTCCTCCGGTAGACCCCCTCCCCCCTCAGGGTCCTGCCCCCTCAGGTGTGTCTCAGGTAGACGCAGTTCAGCCTGTTGAGGTCGCTGTTGACTCTGGTGCTGCTGAGTCTGGGGGTGCTGTGCCTGGGGTTGCTGAGTCTGGGGGTGCTGCGCCTGGGGGTGCTGTGTCTGGGGGTGCTGAGCCTGGAGGTCCTCCGAGTGTCCCGTCGCGACGGGAGCCACTCTCTCCACGGCATCTTCGTGAGTGGTACGCTCGGCGCTGTAGCCGTGCTGCTAGTGCTGGAGCTGCTGGTGGTGCTGCTGGAGGTGCTGCTGCTGCTGGAGGTGCTGCTGGTGCTGGAGGTGCTGCTGGTGCTGGAGCTGCTGGTGGTGCTGCTGGAGGTGCTGCTGGTGGTGCTGCTGGAGGTGCTGCTGGTGCTGGTGCTGCTGGAGGTGCTGCTGGTGCTGGAGCTGCTGGAGGTGCTGCTAGTGCTGAAGCTGCTGGAGGTGCTGCTGGTGCTGGAGCTACTGGAGCCGCTGGTCCTGGAGGTGCTAGTGCTGGAGGTACTGGCGCTGCTGGAGGTCCTGCTGGTGTTGGAGCTGCTGGTGGTGCTGGAGCTGTTGGAGCTTGTGGTGCTGGGGGAGTTGTAGCTGGAGACCCTGGAGCTGAGGGTGCTGGTGCTGTCTCTGCTGGTTGAGGAGGCACTGCGCGGCCGCGGCCGTACTTCGTTTCGCTCCTTCAGCAGGTTCTTGGCCTCCCACCTTCTACTGGTCCTACTCCTCCCCTACTGAGTCCACCGCCTGTCCAGTCGCAGTCACAGTTACAGCCAGCCTCTCCACTGCCTGGTCCTTCTCCTTACTCTGGACCGACTAGAGGTCTTACGGAGCGTCGTGAGCCTGAGTCTCGTCCTGAGTCGCCTGAGTCTCGTCCAGAGTCGCCTGTCCGCGCTGTCCGCACTGGTCGTCATGTTCCACGTGAGCGTCCTCCTCCTGTCCCTGGCACTCACTATATGACTCTGCGTCCTTCCACTGCTCCACAGCGTGTCCCTCTGCCGTCTCCTCCTGCGTCCTCTCTTCCTGACGGTCCGGACCCGGAGTCTGACTCCCTTCGTGCTGCCAGTCCTACTGTCACGCGTTTCCTCGCTACTGTTGTCACTGACCCTTCCTTTGAGTCCACTGCTGCGTCTGCTCTAGTGGCTGAGCTTGTTGACTTTGCTGCCGCCTGTTGTCTAGACTACGCCGCTAGCCTTGTTGCTGAGTCTGTGTCTGTCTGTCCTCCGTCCGTCGGGGGTGAGTGTGCTCTTGGCACGGACGTTCTTGAGGACAGACAGGAGGAGTTTGAGTGCTTTGCCGCTGCTTTACCTCATCTCGTGTCCATGCTGATTGCCCCTGAGGGAGACCCGGATGCACCAGACATCCTGACCCCGCGCTCTTACGCAGAGGCGATAGAGGGTCCCTACTCCTCTCAGTGGCAGTCAGCCATGGACGAGGTTTCCCCCACCTGGGGCAAACATTGTCAGTGGCATGTGGATTTTCAGGGTGAAGCGGCCGCCGGGTTCTCCGCCTGTCTTCAAGGCGCGTTACGTTGCACGAGGCTTCAGTCAGCGTGAGGGAGTTGACTTCTTCCAGACCTTCTCCCCTACCCCGAAGATGACCACTCTTCGGGTTCTGCTGCACGTCGCCGCTCAGCGTGAATACGAGCTCCACTCTCTTGACTTCAGCACTGCTTTCCTACATGGCAGCCTGCACGAGGAGATCTGGCTGCGCCGCCCACCTGGCTTCACTGGGTCGTTTCCTCCTGGTACCCAGTGGAGCCTCCGGCGGCCAGTCTACGGTCTCCGCCAGGCACCCCGTGAGTGGCACGACACACTGAGGACTACTCTTGCTGCTCTTGGGATTGCTCCTTCTACTGCTGACCCGTCGCTGTTTCTACGCACCGACACCACTCTGCCGCCGTTCTACGTTCTCGTGTACGTAGACGACTTGGTCTTTGCTACTGCTGACACTGAGGCACTCGCCCACGTGAAGTCGGAGCTGCAGAAGAGACACACGTGCACAGACCTGGGTGAGCTGACAAGCTATCTTGGCTTGCGGATCACCCGGGACAGAGCAGAGCGCACCATTACCTTGATTCAGTCACACATGGTGCAGCAGGTCCTTCAGCGCTTCCGCTTCACGTACTCCTCGCCACAGTCCACTCCTCTGCCTACCGGTCACTCGCTCTCAGCTCCACCTTCGGACGAGTCCGTGGAGCCGAGTGGCCCGTATCCAGAGCTTGTGGGCTGCCTCATGTACCTGATGACCTGCACTCGACCTGACCTAGCCTACCCTCTTAGCATCCTAGCACGCTATGTTGCTCCTGGCCGACACAGGAAGGAGCACATGGATGCTGCTAAGAGGGTGTTGCGCTACTTGTGCAGTACGTCGGGCATGGGGCTCGTGCTTGGAGGGCGAGGTCCAGTTGTCCTCACTGGTCACGCAGACGCTTCTTGGGCTGACGACTTAACTACGCAGCGGTCGTCACAGGGTTACACCTTCAGCCTTGGCTCCGGCTCTATTTCGTGGCGGTCTACCCGCTCGTCTTCTGTTCTCAGCTCCAGCTGTGAGGCTGAGATCTACACAGGGGCCATGGCTGCACAGGAGTTACGCTGGCTCACCTACCTGCTGACCGACCTTGGCGAGCCGCCTTGTTCTCCTCCAGTGCTGTACGTCGACAACAAGGCCATGATTGCCTTGTGTCAGGAGCACAGACTGGAGCACAGAACGAAGCACATCGCTCTGCGCTACTTCCTTGCTCGAGAGTTGCAGCAGCGTGGTCAGATTCGTCTTGCTTACGTGGCCACTCGGGCCAACACTGCTGATGTGTTCACCAAGGCGCTTCAGCCTTGTGATCATCAGCGTTTCTGTACTGTTCTAGGCCTTGTGCCTACTGTGCCTCACTTGCTTACTTCTTGACTCTGCTTGTACTGTGATCCTTATATATTTCTACCTGCATGTTTACACTTGCTAGGTTGTGATCACTGTACTTCTTGTTGTATTATCAAACTGCATGTGAACTGGTCTTGTGACCACTTGCTTGTGCTCGGAATTTGTGTGGTATCCTTGAGATCCACCGTGAGCTTGCTTTGCTTCTCTTGACTGGTCTTGTGACCTCTTGTTCTCCCCCACTTTGCCTATGGGGGTGTGTCAAACATATGTTATAGCCTGTTTAGGCTGTAGTGGGTTAGACAATAGGGGGTACAGCAATTCTAGGGTTTCCTTTTTGTACCCATCTCATTTCTAGTTCATTCATTCCTCGTATTATTCTCACACAACTGTGATTTGCCGACGCATCTCAAACGATTCCCCCCGCAACACAAGCACCAGCCAAGAGGTACTTCAGCCATTGAGCGGCTGAGATCGAGCGGTAGGTGGGTTTATGCTAGGGTGGCGACACGTACACCGTCCGATATAGCCTGATAGGGTTACAGTAATCTCTCTAGTCTCGCAACCCACCCCAACCACCCTCGTGCCCCACCCACCTGCTTCCGCCACTCTCTGGGCCAACACTTTGACGCTGCTCGCTGTTTCACACACGCGTTTCCAGATCGCCCGTGACTCACCAGTATACTAAGTCATGGGCCGTAGCTCTGTGCTTAGTGGCTACTATTTCAGTTTTAGTTGAAGCGGCGATTTTCGGAGAAAGATAACAGTGATAGACCGTCGATAATCCCATCGTGGGATTCAGGTGCGGTACCCCTTCGAAACCGGCTCGACCCTTCCGCGCGATAGAAATTTGCATTCCTACAACTACCATGACACGTGCAACACGTAAACAAGCAATGGAGGAGGAACAGGCCGGGCGCCGCGCGACAAGAAGGACGTCTAAACAGATCGATAGAGAGAGTGGTGGCGGCGCTAAATAAACTAATGCGTCCGTCGCGTGTGGCATTGGGCTGAAAAAAGTGGCGGCAAATAAGGTCGAGCGCGGTCAAGAGAAGTCCGGCAAGAAAGCGGAAGACAAGGGGAAGCAACCAACGCCACGCAAGCGTGTTTCTACAGTGAACAAAGATGCGGATGTTGCCTCTGCTGGAACCGAGCCGGGTCCGAGTAACGACGGCACCACTGGCGGCAACAAAGATCCGGGGCGAGGGAGCGCGAGTTTTGCAGTCCCGTCGGCGGAGAGAGAGGGATCGGCGACAGGGGGAAACCACGGAGGCGGTCCCCGCGCCGAGCATGCCGCAACCAAGGAGTCCGAGACGGAGGCATCGCAACACCATCTGACGCTGCTCCAACCGACCGTGGTCGAAGTTTCTGCAGCCGTGCTGGATAAGGACAAGGTGGGGGAGCACGAGACGATGGAGGATCCTAACCACAGCATCGCCGACGTCGGTGGATCTCCTCCTTCTGGTGAACGGGGGAGGCGTAGGCAGAGGAAGAGCGATGGGGAGGACGATTATGACACCGCCGTGCCCGGGGACCTCACCACGCGGGCGAAGAGGCGGCAGACGACAGGCAGTGCTGACGACGCCGGAGGCGCGGAAGTTGGGACAACGCAAGGCGCCAAGGAAGCTAGTGGCAAGGCGGGCGGTCAAGCATTGCGCCAGAAGGGCCGACCCGCAGCAAGAAAAACATCCGGCGGAAGGAGAGGCAAGAAAGCAGCGACGGGGACGAGGCCGAAACAGGGCGATGAAGACCCTGGTGATGCGGAGGAGGAGGAGGATGAGGAGGAGGATGCGGAGGAAGAGGAGGATGAAGAGGATGCGGAGGAGGATGACGCGGATGTTGGGGAGGATGAAAAATATGAGAATGATGGCGGGGAGGACGAAGAGGAGGAGGAGGAGGAGGAGGAGGACGAGGAGGATGAGGAGGAGGAGGAGGAGGAGGAGGAGGAGGAGGAGGAGGAGGAGGAGGAGGAGGAGAAGGAGGAGGAGGAGGAGGAGGAGGAGGCAGAGGAGGAGGAGGAGGAGGAGGAGGAGGAGGAGGAGCAGGGTGACGACGAGGAGGAGGATGAGGAGGATGAGGAGGAGGAGGAGGAGGAGGAGGAGGAGGAGGAGGAGGAGGAGGAGGAGGAGGAGGAGGAGGAGGAGGAGGAGGAGGCAGAGGAGGAGGAGGAGGAGGAGGAGGAGGAGGAGGAGGAGGAGGAGGTAGAGGAGGAGGAGGAGGAGGAGGAGGAGGAGGAGGAGGAGGAGGAGGATGTGGCGTCAGTGAAGGGACGGGGCGGGCGTGGCAGACGGGTGAGTGGTACAGGGAAGGTGGGGGGCCGGACTCGCCATTCCCGAAAATGCGGGGCAGTTGACGCCGCGCGCGGCGAAGCAGCGGGCAAACCGAAGGCGCGTAAGGTGAAGGTCGAAAGTGAAGGGGGTGGTAAAAAGCAAGGGAGCCAGGGAGCAAAAGGGGATGGAGGAGGAAAGGGTGGCCGCGCCAAAGGGGTTCCAGTGGGTACCGGCAAGAAAGAACCTGCCGGTAAACGTCGCAGCGTTCGCCAAAGCACCCCGCGGAAAGGTGGCAACGAGAAGGCGCAGGCTGCAAAAAAACGGAAGGGACAGCAGAAAGGTGAGCATTGTGGCCAATACAACTGGCGTGGTTGTTGTACTATCTGCTCTACTGTGCCAAATAACACTTTTTTTTCACATTGTTTCTCCCCTGCAGGGAAGGAGAAGGTCGACGAATCTGCCAAGCAAGGTAAAGCCTCTTGTCTCAAAACAGTACAACCCTAAACCCGATTTAGATTCAAACCTTTGATCTTATGCATGCATGTCTGGCCCTGTATTGAAACCGATTGACTCTAATTTCTTTATCCTACTCCCTCTACATCTCAGCCCCTCGCGTTACAGGCATTGGGCCACCGGTAAGCGTGCAACGGATGCAGCTAACGAAGGCTGCCGGAAGAGCGAGTGTTACACTGCTATCCACAGGAGCACCAAGGTTCTACACGCCATACTCCGGCCCAAGCAAAGTCGCTGCGACAGCACCCGGCGCGCCAAGAGGAGAGGAATCCGAATCCCCTCCACCAGCCCCCGTCACGCACTCCCCACTCGCCTCACCCTCGTACCCATTTCGGCAACTCCACGCTTCTCCTGTCCGGGGCAGGGCGGTCTCCCCCCTCGCCGGTCCTTCGCGCGGGCATCAGGCAGGCACTTATGCCAATCCCTTCCCTGAGCTCCCCTTTTCCCGCCAGCGTGATACTGTGAGGGCACATGGGACTGCTGCAGAAGACGTTGATCCCCTTGGCCAGAGGGGGGATTCTTCACACCCTTTTCCTCCGCTCATGGGTGCCCTAGGTGAAAGTGCGGAGCACGAGCAGTTTGTTACACGGGAGGAGTTCCAGGCGCTGCGGTCTGAGATGTACGCCATGTTTGCACAGCTCGGCCTGCGTCGTGGAGTACCTGCCAGCTATGTCGGCAGGTCGGCAGCCCTGCCTATGGCTGGTACCCGGCTGCCGATGAGTGCCGTGGACAAGGCACGAGTGCTAGTGTTGCAGGAGACAAACCCATTCCCGGTATGTGGCGGGCCAAATGGGGCGGGTTGGGGTTGACGTGGCAACCAGGGCGGGGCTGGGGCTGACGTGGCGGTTTCGAAGGGAACACGGGAGCGGCGCGTGACGAGGCGACGCGTATCAGGTGGGTGGGGGGTGACGTGGCATGGGGTGGGTGGGTGTGACGTGGCTCGTGAGGCGGGTTGTCAGTGGACGTCGCGGATGCAGGAGGGTGTGACGTGGCGGGATGTGAGAGTTGGGACTGACGTGGCGGTTTGGAATGGTACACGGGAGCGGCGCGTAACGAGGCGACGCGTGTCAGGTGGGTGGGGGGTGACGTGGCATGGGGTAGGTGGGTGTGACGTGGTAAGTGGGGCGGGTTGTTGGTGGACGTGGTGGATGCAAGTGGGTGTGACGTGGCAAAAGGTGAGGGTTGAGATATGACGTGGCGGTTTGAAAGGGTGCAAGGGAGTGGCGCATGACGGGGCGAGGCGTTTCAGGTGGGTGGGGGGTGACGAGGCTCTTGGTGGGGGGTGTGACGTGGCAAGTAGGGCGGGTTGTTGGCGGATGCAAGAGGGTGAGACGTGGCGGAATGTGAGGGTTGGGGCTGACGTGGCGGTTTGGAATGGTACACGGGAGCGGCGCGTGACGAGGCGACGCGTGTCAGGTGGGTGGGGGGTGACGTGGCACGTGGGGCTGGTTGTCAGTGGACGTCGCGGATGGAGGAGGGTGTGACGTGGCGGAATGTGAGGGTTGGGGCTGACGTGGCGGTTTGGAATGGTACACGGGAGCGGCGCGTGACAAGGCGACGCGTGTCAGGTGGGTGGGGGGTGACGTGGCATGGGGTGGGTCGGTGTGACGTGGCACGTGGGGCTGGTTGTTGGTGGACGTGGCAGATGCAGGAGGGTGTGACGTGGCAGGATGTGAGGTGAGTTTGTGACGTGGCGGTTTGGAATGGTACACGGGAGCGGCGCGTGACGAGGCGACGCGTGTCAGGTGGGTGGGGGGTGACTTGGCATGGGGTGGGTGGGTGTGACGTGGCAACAGAGTCTGGTTTTCAGTGGACGTCGCGGATGGAGGAGGGTGTGACGTGGCCGAATGTGAGGGTTGGGGTAGATGTGGCGGTTTGGAATGGTACACGGGAGCGGCGCGTGACGAGGCGAAGCGTGTCAGGTGGGTGGGGGGTGACGTGGCATGGGGTGGGTGGGTGTGACGTGGCAAGTGGGGCTGGTTGCTGGTGGACGTGGCGGAAGCAGGAGGGTGTGACGTGGCAAGTTCACACAGTCCATCCTGTGGTGACGCGGCCACAGTCATAACTGATGGTTTCTCTCTCCCATGTCGTGTTGTATACCCCACACCCCTGCGCAGAACAAAGCCTACTTAGTGTGCTCTCAGCTCATGTTTCTGAACCCCCCGGCGAAAATCCAGTACTACCCTGCACCGGAGGAAGTGTTCGAAGCGTTCGCTGTCCACTTGTCTGCAGAAGGGCTCGAGTCAATGAAGCTGCTGTGGTTGCACAACGACAAGTCTACCATGGGTGCCTTCAACCACCAGATGTCGTCAACAAGGTCAACAATCAACTCCACCCTAAGGCCAGCAGCATACACCGGCATGGGCCTCTCCGATTACGCCCATCTCGTGGATTGCCTGCCCACTGAGCTACACCCAAAGAAGTGGTTCAACGACGAGCAACTCCTGGACGAGTACAGAGATGGTATGCGCAACCCGGAAACACCCTATGCCCCACCATATGCCAGCTGGCAGCTACAAATCACCGTGCGGTGTTCCTCACCCTGACTCTCACCCCCCCACATGATTTCTCTGCAACCCCTTTCCAACGCATACCCTCCCTGCCAAAATGCAGAACAGTGGGCCCTCAACTGGCACTTTGACAAGGCCACCGGGACGCCCTTCAGCAGCCCCTTGTTTGCTTATGCGTTCAAGCTCTCCTTCAAAAGGGGCGGGGTCGTGTTCACCAAGTTCAAGAGCTGCATGGTGGCATGGGGCCTGTTTTCGATAAGGATGTAGATATGTGTTTGTACACCCATGCCTCATCCCCTAAACCCCTTGCCTGTATTTCATCTAACTCCCTGGTCGCTTAAGCGTTTGCGGTTCCGTAGATAGTGACGCCTGAAATCACCGCTTTCAATTGGCTCATATACCCGTAACCCCACCTCATACACCATCCACCCAATCCTACACCACATTGCAGATCGAGTGGCCCCTTCTGCAGGATAAGCGTCGCAAACGAATTCCGGCCCAGCCGGAACAAAACAGGCCGGACTACTTCCAGTGGTGTGATAAGGTCAAACAGATGATACAATTTGCTGTCGTGGAGCGGAGGATCCAACATGATCCGGCTCAGGGTGCGTTCATCTTCCCCAACAAGTTCCTCATCGACGATGGCGACCTTGGAGAGGTCGTCCTTGCCCACCGGGCGCTTGCAAGGCCCAGCAGTGCGTAGGCTATTTGACCTGGTGCTAAGACAGCTTGTTGCTAGACTGCTGAATAATGGTTGTTGTAAACCGGAATATTAAATGTAATTCTGAAATCCTCAATATCCAAAATAAAACAAAAACAAAATCTAGTTTTAAATAATTTGGTCACGAATTTGCACCAAAACGGATTGCGCCCGAATGTCATCCAGAAAAGCTCGCGTGCCAAATTGGAACTTGACCCGAGCCAAACCTTCGGTCGAAGATGTGTGTCGGAGCTCCTATCAAATGACTCCAACCGTCGGTCGAAATTGGGTCCGGATTTTTTTACGCGAAGACAATCCCAATCAAAATTCGTCCAAACTTGGCATAGGGTTTTTGTGATGTAGTCAAGGTGCCTGTGAGCCTGCTAGCACAGGTGCAGCTCCTGCGGAGGCTTTGCACACCTTCAGGATTTACTCATGCGCGTCTCGCTGCTTCTTCCGCGACTGCACCACAGTCACACCGCTCACTGCACCTGTCCCGGTCACTCTGGCTGACCCCTCTGGTGGCCTAGTCGTTGCACGTAGCTCCACTATTCTCCCGTGTCCGGCAGCCCCCTCTGGCTCCCTCACATGTCTCCACCTCCCCTAGTTCGCTACGAACTTGGTGAGTAACGCTGTCCTCCAGGACCAGTTTGTCACTGTCACTACTCCTGGGGGTGAGCTTGTGGCGATCTGTACGAACTCACGGACTGGCACCCACCTCGCCAGGTTCACTCGGACACCCGGGTCTGGCCTGTACACACTGACCGCTGAGTCTGCACAGGAAGCTGCGCCCGGTCAAGCCGCTGTGTCTTGCTCGTGTCGGTTACTCACGCACTCCTCTCTCCTCTGGCACCACCGTCTGGGTCACCCCTCCCTAGCACGTCTGTGTAGCATGCACTCCCGTCTCCTTGTCTCTGGCCTACTCATGTCCGTGCCCCCGCTCCCGCGGTCGCTTGCACTGCCGTGCCTTCCCTGCGTCAAAGGGCGGCAGCGCGCCAGCCTCCTCGTTTCCTCCGACCACTTCTCCTCTGCAGACTCTCCACATGGACGTGTGGGGCCCCGCCCGCGTCAATGGACAGGACCGAGAGCGCTACTTTCTGCTGGTTGTTGACGACTACACCCGCTACACCATGGTCTTCCCCTTGAAGAGCAATGCGGATGTCCGCAGTGTCTTGATCCCTTGGATCCGCGCTGTCCGTTGCCAGCTGAGCGCACGGTTCCAATAGGACCTCCAGGTCCTGCGACAGCACCCTGACCGAGGTGGTGAGTTTTCCTCCCGCCTCCTTGAGGACCTTTGTCGTGAGGAGAGCATCACCCAGCCGTTCACACTTCGGCCTCTCCACAGCAGAATAGGATTGCTGAGCACCATATTGGCTTGATCATAGTGGTTGCTCGCACCTCCATGATCCCTGCGGCTGCTCCTCTTTTTCTATGGCCGTTTGCGGTCCGATACGCCGCGCATCAGCTCAACCTCTAGCCCTGCGTTGTCAGAATGTTGTATTTGTCTAGCGTGCAGTGGGGTACTCTATAGCGAGTACAGCCCAAATTAGGGTTTCCTATATGTACTCAACTGCCTGCTAGTGCAACCCCTCTTTCTTGTTCTAAACTTCTGCCTACTATTTCTGACATGGTAACAGAGCGATTACGCTCCTGGCCTGTGGGCCCGCCTGCTTCCGCTGCCATACTGTCTGTCGCGCGCCCCGTGGCGCGCGACGTTCCTATTTTCTTCCCGCCACGCGCTCGGGGCGCGTGGCGGCGGTTTTCTGCCCGCCGTGCGCCCCGAGGCGCGTGGCGGTTTTCCGCTCCGTCACGGCGCCCCGGAGGCCCGCGCGCCACCCCCTCCCGTCGCCCGTCGTGGCGCTCTCGGGGGCCCGCGCGCCACCCCCTCCCGTCGCCCCGTCGCGGCGCCCTAGGGGCCCGCGCGCGGCCCCCTCCCGTCGCCCGTCGTGGCGCCTCGGGGGCCCACGCGCCTCCCCCTCCCGTTGCCCGTCGCGGCGCCCTGGAGGCCCGCGCGCGGGCCCCCCCCCCTCCCGTCGCCCGTCGTGGCGCCCCGGGGGCCCGCGCGTCCGCCCCTACCGTCGCCCGTCGTGGCGCCCCGGGGGATCCGCGCGCCGTCCCCCACGCTGCTGCCCGCGCTCCTGCCCCGTGCTGCCCGTTTTAGGGTTTGGGGGTGGCGAGTGTGGGGATGGCGGGTATGGGGGTGACAGGTGTGTGCCCCGTCCCCTGCTCCTCCTCCTCCTCCGTCTCCCACTGCTGCAGCTGCCGCTGAGGGGGGTGGGTGTGTGGAGCTGAAGGAGTGGTGCTAGGGGGGTGCCGTGGGAGTGGAGCTAGGGGTGCAGCAGTGGGTGAGTGAAAGGGGTGTGGGACAGCTTGGGGAGGTTGAGTGGAGGCAGCCGTCTTGTCGTCCGCAGCGCCAGTAGTCCGGAGGCTACAATCTTCGGTAGTCGCCAGTCGCCCGTGGGTTAGTTGCTCCAGCCGCCAGTAGTCCGGAGGCTACAATCTCCGGCGTAGCCGCGGAGCCAGTTACTCCTGAAGTCCGGGCCTTTGCTTCGGTCCCAATCCCAGCGGGCGCCTAGATCAAGAAGGAGACGAAGGGTGGGGAGACGGGCAGTGGGAGAGTAAGTGGCGAAGTAGTCAATGCCTTCACGTTGGGTGAAGCCCTTGGCACAATAACGGGCTTTGAAGATAGGGAGCTCCCCAGGCAGCTGTTTGACACGAAAGACCCATTTGCCCTTGACAATGGTCGCCAGGGGGGGGGACAGAGTCAACGTAAGAATGAGTTCTGGTGAACGCCTCACACTCGGCAATGATGGCAGCCATCCACTCAGTTGCATGAAATCCAGACACTGCCTCGTAATAGGTCTGAGGGGTGGGAATAGCGGCAGTGTCAACGGAGAGGAGAGTGGGAGAATTGGAGAAGTCGCCAATGGTGACACAGAGGAGGGGTGAAACGGGATGCACAGAGAAAAGCTCTTCGAACCGATCCTCGAGAAGATCGACGTTGTGGGAGGGAGAGAGACGAGTAAAGAGAGCAGAGTGGTTAAAATTGGACATTGCACGGGTCATAGAGCGGGTGAGACGCGGAGAAGGTGGGGGAGCTGGAGCAGAAGGGAGGGTGGCAGAAGGAGGTGATGAGGGAGAGGGCATGGGAGCAGAAGAGGAAGAGGGAGGAGGAGAGGTGCCGGAGATGACAGCAGAAGGGGGGGTAGAGGGGGCGGGGAGGGGAGGCGGAGCAGGGGGGGGATGAAGTGGAGAAGGAGAGGGAGCAGCAGAGGGCATCGGATCAAAATCAGACCAATGAAGAGAGGGAGGAGGAGGGGTGGGAGAGGGGGTGAGGAATGGAGAACGAGTCTCATCAAATATAACATCCTGGCTGCGAATGAGCTGCTGAGAAGAGGGAGCATAGAAAAGATAGCCAGGATAGTCAGAGTTGATGCCAATGAACGCACCGAGCTGCGTCTTGGGAGCGAGCTTCCCACCCTGACGTGCTCAATCGGCGGGATTGATGAGGACATGAGCGACACAGCCCCACACCCGAAGAGGGCGGGCGGAGGGCTGGCGGCCAGTCCAGAGCTGGAAGGGTGTAATGGAGGGGCGAAGGGGATGAGGGCGAAGGTTGGAAAGAAGAGTGGCATGAACAAGAGCGTAGCTCCAAAGAGAATATGGAGCAGAGGAATGAGTAAGGAGACAGCGGGTGATCTCCATAAGAGTGCGAATACGACGCTCGGCAACACCATTTTGTTCGGGAGAATGCGGAAGAGTGGAGGTTTGGCGAATGCCATGAGAGGAGCAGTAAGAAGTGTGGTTAAAGAACTCGCCACCACCATCAGAGTGGAGGCGTGCGACAGGACGGCCAAAGCGAAGGCGCGCCTGCTCAGCCCAGCGAATGATGAGGGAGGGGGCATCAGATTTGGCACGGAGGGGATGGATAGTGGCAAAGCGAGAATGGTCATCAACAAGAAGGAGAAAGTAACGATGACCTTGACGTGAGGCAATGGGAGAGGGACCCCAGAGGTCCATATGCACAAGATCAAGGGGTTTGGGGGCGGCAGAAGGGGAAGAAGGATGACGAGATTGGGAGAGCTTGGCTTGAACACAAGGGGTGCATGGAGGAGCGGGAGAGGGGGGAAGGGGCGGGAGAGAGGAAGGGAGATCATGAAGCAGCTTCGAATCGACCATGCTGCGAAGGAGAGGGAAATTGGGGTGGCCAAGGCGATGATGGAGAAGAAGGGTAGGTTGGGTGAGGGAGCGACAGTCGCAAGAGGAGACAGGAGGGGCAGAAGAAGAGGAAGTGTGATGGACAGAGGAGGGGACGGGAACACGAAGGGTGTAGAGGCGAGTAATAGGAGAAAGGGTGAAACGAGCGAGGTGCCGGTCGAGGTAATGAAGATCACAATAGAGTGCACCTGCGGGGAAGAGCGCTCGCACACCCAGGCGTTGGAGGGCAGGGAGAGATAAGAGGTTGTGACGGCAAGAGGGAACATAAAGGCCAGTAATAGCGCCAGAGGGAGAGGCAGGACAAGGAAGAGAGGAAGTGCCAGTGCAGATCATGGTCATGGTCTCCCCTGCCCCATCAATAGAAAGGGGACGAGGAAAAGTACGAAGGACACAGGCATCATGGAAGACAGAGTCAGTAGCAGCACTGTCAAGGACAAAATCCAAGGTGCGAGGAAGTGAGAGAGCGGCAACCGTAGGGCTGGGAAAGTGAGAAGGAGTGCTGTAAAGAGGTGGAGAAAATGGAACGACAAAGCGAGGGTCCATAAGAGGAGAAGCACCAAGGATGCTATCCTGAGACGGCATGGTCACACTGAAGACAGAGGCCAGAGAACCAATACCAGAGGTTACAGCGGCAGAAGAGCGGCGACGCTGATGGGACAGCGGAATCCAAGCAGAGGGGTGGAGAAGAGGGGAGGTCCAGCGGCAAGCAGGAGAGGTGCAAGGGGAGGAAGGGGCAGCGAAGGGAGCGGAGAGTAGGGAAGGCAAGGGTAGGAGAGGAGGTACGGCGGGAGAGGGGCGAGGGCGGAAGCGCAGAGGAAGAGAGGGAAGAGTGATAAGGGGCCCCATATGAGGAGGGGATAGTAATGGAGAAGATGTGGGGAGATAAAATAGGAGGAGGAATAGGGGCGAGGTAGTCTGCTCCTGAGCCGTTGAGGGGAGAAATAAGAGGAGGAGGGATAGCGGCGGAGTAGTCTGCTGCTGCGCCGCTGAGGGGAGAAACAAGAGGAGGAGGGATAGCGGCGGAGTAGTCTGCTGCTGTGCCGCTGAGGGGAGAAATACGAGGAGGAGGGATAGCGGCGGAGTAGTCTGCTGCTGCGCCGCCGAGGGGAGAAACAAGAGGAGGAGGGATAGCGTCGGAGTAGTCTGCTGCTGCGCCGCTGAGGGGAGAAACAAGAGGAGGAGGGATAGCGGCGGAGTAGTCTGCTGCTGCGCCGCTGAGGGGAGAAACAAGAGGAGGAGGGATAGCGGCGAAGTAGTCTGCTGCTGTGCCGATGAGGGGAGAAATACGAGGAGGAGGGATAGCGGCGGAGTAGTATGCTGCTGCGCCGCTGAGGGGAGAAACAAGAGGAGGAAGGATGGAGTAGTCTGATGCTGCGCCGCTGAGGGGAGAAACAAGAGGAGGAGGAAAGGTGTGGAAGAAGATTGGCGCCGAAACACAGACAGCTACCAGCTGCAGCAGAGAGGGAGAGAAGAGAGGCGGAGGAAGAGGTTAGAGGGTGGGGGGGGAATAGAGGGAGAGAGAAGAGGAGGAGGAGGGTGAAGGAGCGGAGTGTGGGGAGGAAGTAGGGTCACGATCACCAAGTGGCAACCAGTACCACGCAGCCAGTTGGCAGATGCGGAGGGGAAGGAGGTGGAGGAAGGGAGGAGAGGCACGGAGGGGAGGAATGTATGAAGAGAGGAGGAGGAGGGTGAAGAGGCGGAAGGGGTGAGGGGAGAAGGAGGAGGTGGTGCAAAAGCGGCAGAAGAAGGTGCACCACGAGGGAAGGGGAATGCGCCTGCAGGGAGGTGAGGCAGGACGCCAAGGGAGGGCGGCCGCGAGGAGGGAAGGGTGGCCAGGGAGAGGGAGGGCGGTGGGCAAGACGCGCGGGCGCGTCGACGGCGAGGAGGCCGCGCGCGTCGACGGCGGGAAGGCCGCGCGCGTCGACGGCGGGAAGGCCGCGCAGGTCGACGACGGGCAGGGCGCGCGACGCGGCGGTGGCCAGGGCGCGCGACGAGGCGGGGCAGGGGGAGGGCGACGCGACGACGGGACAGGGCGCGCGACTAGGCAGGGAGGCCTCGGGCGATGGATAGAATGTACCGCGAGTGAAAAAAAAGAAGAAATTTAAGGGCCGAAATAGTAGGGAAAATATCATTCGACAAGGTAAAAAAGGTGGCGCGCCGGATGCCTAAGGCCTAAACCGTGCTAAGAGATATAGATTGGGACAAAACGCCAAGGATTTGGCTCTGATACCATGTTAAAGCTAGGAATATGGAAGCCATGGCTAGGGAGAGAGAAGGTAGCGAGAGAATTGTTACTAGGAAAGAGTGTCAAGATACAAATGTAGGAAACCCTAATTGGACTTAGGGTGTGTTCAGTTTGTGCTAGAAACTAAGAAATGAACCTAAACTGAACCGAACGTGTAACTCACCCTAAACATGGCGAAATAACAAAAGAACACCACGATAAATGCCAGAGCGAACTCTAGCCTACTCCAACAGGTTCCAGCAGGACCTCCAGGTCCTGCGACAGCACTCTGACCGAGGTGGTGAGTTTTCCACCCGCCTCCTTGAGGAGGGCATCACCTAGCCGTTCACACTTCGGCCTCTCCACAGCAGAATGGGATTGCTGAGCACAATATTGGCTTGATCATGTAGGTTGCTCGCACTTCCATGATCCCTGCGGCTGCTCCTCTTTTTCTGTGGCCATTTGCGGTCCGATACGCCGCGCATCAGCTCAACCTCTAGCCCCGCGTCTCCGTGCCAGAGACCTCGCCTACACTGCATTGGACGGGGGAGGTTGGCAATGCGTCGGCGTTTCGGGTCTGGGGCTCACTTTCCCTTGTCCGCGATACCACCGCGGGCAAGCTTTCTTCTCGCACTGCGCTCTGCGTCTTCCTTGGCTTTCCCACCCTGCTGCTAACGACACAGCTGTTACTCGGCACTCACCGCGCTTGAAGACCCCTCCTGGTTTTTCGCCTCGGCCGTCTTCGCCGCTTCTGCAGCCTGTCTCTGTAGACTCTGGTGCTGCTGGAGGTGGTGACACTGGGGGTGCGGACTTTGGGGGTGCTGGTTCTGTGGGTGCTGGTTCTGAGGGTGCTGAGGTTCTACTGGTGGTGGAGTCGTGGGTGCTGCTGCTGGAGACTCTGGGGGTGGACGTCAGTGGCAGCCGAGTCAGCAGGAGAATCTCTCAACGCAGCAGCTTTGCGAGTGGGCTGTCCGGTGGGGCAGCTCCGGTGGCGGAGCTGTCGGTGCTGGTGCTGGAGGTGCTGGTGCTGGAGGTACTGGAGTTGGAGTTGCTGGAGGTACTGGTGCTGGTGCTGGAGACACTGGTGCACGTCGGCAGGAGTCTCTCTCGCCGCAGGAGCTTCGCGAGTGGGCTGTCCGGTGGGGCAGCTCCGGTGGCGGAGCTGTTGGCGCTGGTGCTGGAGGTGCTGGTGCTGGAGGTACTGGAGTTGGAGGTGCTGGAGGTGGTGGTGCTGGAGGTACTGGTGCACGTCGGCAGGAGTTTTTCTCGCTGCAGCAGCTTCGTGAGTGGGCTGTCCGGTGGGGCAGCTCCGGTGGCGGAGCTGGAGGTGCTGGAGGCATTGGTGCTGGAGGTGGTGGAGCTGGAGGTGCTGGAGGTACTGGAGTTACTGGTGCTAGAGGTGCTGGAGATGGAGGTTCTGGAGCTGGAGGTGCTGGAGGTGCTGTTACTGGAGGTACTATAGCTGGAGGTTATGGAACTGTGGGTACTGCGCAGTGGCAACAATTTTCTTGCCTCAGCCACAGTCGTCGCTGCCACCACCTGACTCGGCGCTTTGCCAGGTTCTTGGTCTTCCGTCTTCCGCTTGTCTTACTCCACCTCTACCGCGTCCTCCGCCTGACCAGTCACAGCCGCAGTTACAGCCTGACTCCCCACGGCCTGCTCTTTCTCCTTACACTGAGTAGACGGACTCCCTGACAAAACGTCGTGAGCGTGCGTCTCGTCCTGCCTCGCATGTTCGCACTGTTCGTCGTGCTCATCGTGTTCGTCCTCCACCAGTCCCCGTCACACACACTATGGCACTTCGTCCTTCCTCTGTTCAACAGCGTGTTGCCTTGCCGTCTTCTCTAGCGTCCTATTACTGTCACGCGTGTCCTGGCCACACTTGTCACTGACCCTTACTTTCAGTCTACTGCTGCGTCTGCTTGGTCACTGAGCTCATTGACTTAGCTGCTACATGTCATCTTGACTACTTTGTTGGGTCTTGTTACTGAGTCTGCGTCTGACACAGGCGATCTCGGGCCAGTACTCCTCTCGATGGCAGACAACCATGGATGCATAGATGGCTTCCTGGAAGTCCACAGGCACCTACGTTGATGGCATGTGGATTTTCAGGGTGAAGCGGCCGCCGGCATTCAAGGCGCGTTACGTTGCTCGAGGCTTCAGCCAGAGACAGTGGGTTGGCTTCTTCCATAAATTCTCTCCCACCCCGAAGATGACCACTCTTTGGGTATTACTGCATGTTGCAGCACTGCGTGACTACGAGCTCCACTCCCTTGAATTCAGCACAACTTTCTTGCATGGCAGCCTTTACGAGGAGATCTGGCTGCGCCACCCACCTGGGTGCCACAACACAACATATGAGGAGAGGAGGTGAAGATAGGGGGCGCATGTAGCGTGCAGCACAAAGGAAATAAGACCCTCCGCCTCCCTCGCATCTGGTCGGGTGGACTGGGCAGGAAGGGAAGCGGGTGGAAGGGAAGGGAGTCGGACGGGACGGGGGTTAGATGTGGGATGGGAGGGAATGGGTGGAATGGGAGAGGAGAGAATGAGAAGGGAGCGAACAAGGAAAATCCTTTACTTTCCTGAGGGTACCCAGTGGAGCCTTCGGCGGCCAGTCTACGGTCTTCGCGAGGCGCCCCGCGAGTGGCACGACACACTGAGGAATACACTTGCAACTCCTGGGTTTGCTCCTTCGACTACTGACCCGTCACAATCTCTGCACACCGACCCTTCTCTCCGGCCATTCTACATCATCGTGTATGTCGACAACTTGGTCTTTGCTATTGCTGATACTGAGGCACTGGCCCTTGTGAAGGCGGAGCTGCAGAAGAGACACACCTACACTGATCTCGGTGAGCGGTGGAGCTATCTTGGCCTGCAGATCACCCGGGACAGAGCACGACGCACCATCACTCTGACTCAGTCACACATGATGCACCAGGTCGTTCAGCGCTTCGGCTTTTAGTTCTCCTCGCCACAGTCCATTCACCTGCCTACAGGCCACTCGCTCTCAGCTCCACCTTCGGACGAGTTCGTAGAGCCGAGTGGTCAGTATCCAGAGCTTGTAGGCTGCATCATGTACATGATGACTTGCACTCTACCTGACCCCGCGTACCCTCTCAGCATCCTGGCGCGCTACGTTGCGCCCGGGAGACACGTCCAGAGCAATGGCGGGCTGCTAGGAGGGTGCTGCGTTACTTGTGCAGTACATCCGGCATGAGGCTTGTGCTTGGAGGACGGGGTCAAGTTGCTCTCACTGGACACTTAGACGCTCGAGAGTTACAGCAGCGTGGTCAACTCCGCCTTACTTACATGGCCTCACGGCCCATCACTTCTGATATTTACCAAGGCACTTGTGTTTGGTGATCATCAGCGGTTCTGCACTGCTCTAGGCCTTGGGCCTACTCTGCCTCGCTTGCTTACTACTTGACTTTGTCTTGTACTATGATCTATATATATTCTTGCATGCTTACTTCTGCTAAGTTGTGATCACTTTACTGCTTGTGCTTTTATAACTCAGCATGTGAATTGGCCTTGTGGCCACATGCTTGTGCTCAGACTGTGTGGTGATCTTGAGATCCACCCTGAGCTTTGTTTTACTTTGCTTCTTTGCTTGACTGGTCTTGTGACTGTCGGTTATTCTTGCTATCCCCCACTTTGCCTATGGGGGTGTGTGAAAATGCATTATGTGCTTGTAGGCTGTAGTGGGGTATAGCCCATATAGGGTACAACCTTTTTAGGGTTGCATACTTGTATCGCACTGCTGCTAATCACACATTCTTCCGATGTTCTCATTCTGACAAGTGGACCTCTGTGTCTCCACGCCGTCGGCGTAGGAAGAGTCGCAGTGACTGGTTAGAACAACTGGCTATGTTTCTCCAAGCACAAGCCCCATGTCGCCATGATCTATGAGTCCATGGCTACTATCCACTGAGAAGCCCACTGCCCTGATACTGCCTCACGGTACGTGCAAGGAGTCGGTATGTCAAGGGCGTCGGGGTCTCCCTCAGGAGCGTGAATGCGCAAGCACTAAGGAACTAAGCAAACCTACGATCACCTCTAGTAGTTCGTGCCAACCCCCATAGTCTAGCTCACTACCGTTGTAGAGTGACTCTCCGCACTCACCTTCGATCCGGAGGGCCGCCCGATAGAGTTCTAGTCTTGGCTCGATGACTTACAGCTGTTCTTAGTGAGCGAATCTAAGGACGGTATTTCGCTGTTTGGCCTCACGTCTGGAGCCTCTCCTGCCCCTCCCGACACAGCTGACAGTATGACTCGCTCACAGTGGCTTATCCGTGACGCTACTGCTCGCCTAGCCGTTCGCAATCACCTGCCTTTAGCCGAACGCGCTCACTTTGGCCAGCACAAGACTGCTAAAGCCCTGTATGACGATGTAGTCGCTCGTTACTTCTCCCCAGCCACTGCTGCTCTAGGCCGCCCTCTACTGCCCTACCTGTTCCCAGAGCTGTCCGCCTTTGCCACAGTCGCCGACCTCGTCACTCACCTTCGCACTATTGACGTCGGCTACCGATCCGCGCTTCCTGTCGAGTT